CATGGTTTTATAATCACTGGGATCCCGAATTTGAGGCAGGTTAGTTAGGGGTGTTCGGGGGAAATTTTGGATTTTTCTGAACTACAGATGTGCATTTTAAGATGTTGTGAAGGCAATAATAATAATAATAATAATAATTCGATAACAACAGCTTTAAAACCATGTCAGTGTGCAGCTGATTATTTTTCTCTCCTCATCAGCATCACACTCTTTTTCTCTTTGTTTTTATCTTGCCCTGTCTCTTCCCCTCCTAAAGTTGGCTTTTTTTAATTTACTAAAGGTTACATTTTGTATTTTATTCTCAATATGTACACATTCATTATAAATCCTGTGCCTAACATGATGAAAACGGCTTTGTTCATGTTTCTTGTCCCCTCACAATGACAGTAGCCTAAACTATTACACTAGGCTACATGTTACAGGCCTATTTTCAGTTAAAAATGGCGAAATTAGACAAAACTATATTAGTTTGCCTAATTATTTTTTGTCATTCGTTTAACATTTATGACCTAAAAAAACCTGTCAAATAAAGTTAAGTTTAGCTACTTACATCTTATCTCGCACTTGACCGTACACTGAAGCGTCGAGTTGCACTGTTAAAATTCGCGCTCAGCGTCTGTGAACATAAAGCCTGCCTACTTTGATTTGATTGGTCATCTCAAATATTCTGACATTGACGAGCAGTGACAGACCAATGAGGCTCAGAAGAACACACACATGAACACACACACACACACACACACACACCCTGTCCTGTGTTTCTGACGTGCTCTCTGTCTCTGCTCGGCGCCGCTGCGGAATGAAGAGGAAGAACGCGCTGAATCTGATTATAACAAGAAGTTTGATGATTGGTTTTTCATTAGGCTATTTTTGGTGCCCCCTCAGCACTTGGTGCCCTACGCACAGCGCGTGATGCGCGTGGTGGGAGCGGCGGCGCTGATTTGAAGAGAAGAGGATTACATGGAAAATGCTATAATGTTCAGATATTAGTAAACAAGTGTTTAATAGAATATTGTTCACAGTGATATCACAGTAATGTATGATAGATGAATAGTGAAGTCTGTAGTTTGAGAGCATATGTTATTTATAAGGAATATAATTATATTTTTAAAAATAAACAATTAAAAAAAAAACATAGCTTGTGGGGTAAAACGCCCCTATGCTGAGGGGTAAAACGCCCCCCAATGGGCATAGTTTCTCTTTATCATAATTACTATAGTAACATATTTCTGTTTATCAAAGTCTTTATTTTACACTTTAATGCAGTATAACTAGGCGATAAAATCAAAATATTTTAACAAAACATGATAAAATTACCTCAAGTGAGCATTAGCTAGCTAGCTTGGTGGATGCAATGATGGAAGGTGGTTAGGTGACCCAATGATAAAATATAGTGACTTTTAGAGCATTTATTGAATATATTTCACTTTAAATATACTAATTTATGTTTAATATTTATTTAGGGTTTTCTGTTTTTCTTGATGATAGTGGTGAACAAATACTACATCAATTATCAACCCCATATAGGCCTAGTGTAGAAATCAAAATATTAAAATGTTAGAAATTTGGCTATTTTGTACATTCCTGAAATAAATATTAATAGGTATATATACATGTTGTTGCATTACTTGCCTTTTACTTTTAGAGATTAAAAACTATGTTTATTTTGCTGTTGATCTATGAAGCAAACTGGTTGGTAAGAAAGGGGGCGTTTTACCCCACCTTGGGGGGCGTTTTACCCCACCGCTGGGGCAAAACGCCCCCTTTGTACAAAAATATTTTCAGTCAAAAATATATATAATTATGCAGGTTGAGCAATTTTAATATTTAGTAATATTCTCCTGCCATAGTCACTCAAAACTGGGATGGCAATTCTAGTCACATTTATGTTTTGTTTCACAGTAATGTCACATTTTCCTTAAGGGGGGCGTTTTCCCCCACTCTACCCTATTAACCCCAGTAACGGGTAGGTTTAGGGACAGGGTTGGGGTAGGTCATATATTTCAGACTGATCTCATGAAATGGCGTATGTATGACACGCCAATTCGTATTTCCATTTTTGGCGTGCTATCAACACGCATAATCGCTTTTCAGCGTTTGTTGCAATAGAAAAGAAAAGATTTAACAGGTAAATTAAGAGGTAAATTCTCTGGGGGTTTTTTTATGTAATAAAGGATAATGTATTATTTTGTGGTTAAAATTTAAAAAAGTAACAAGTCCTTCCCACACGAGCAAATTTGATCCCCGAATGAATGGAATGCGAGAAATGCTTCAGTACACATAGAAAAACCTAAAAATGCTCAAAATTCAAACTAAAAATGCTAAAACTTTACCAAAAATATATTTTGAAAAATGTCTACATGTGTATCTGAATGCATACGGAAAGAAACTGACTTTAGGAGCTCATTTTCTCCATAGAGCTATAAGGCCATCTTAGTGGCAAGAGTCATGAAATATCATGTTATAAGAGGTCGGCAAAGACACCCAAATGTAAGATATTTTGAGCTGAATTAAAAGGGTTATGCATTAAATTTTGAGTTATTTTGAATTTAAGTTGAAAGAATGTGAGAAATGTGCTTAAATTATTTATTTATTATTTATTGATCAAATCTAGTAATTTAAAGGTAAATAAAAAAAAATGACAAAAAAAATTATCAAAATGAAATCAAATAAGCTTTCTGGAAAAAAAGTATAATTTTAGGGCTTCAGGTCATTTTGACCTGCGAGGGAAGTGTTACAAAGTGCGAGGGAATCAATATTCTATATACTAGGCCTAATCAAAATGTCATATTCCCAGAACTCTCAGTTGAGCACCGATATTTACATGAAACTGTTTTCACACCATCTTCTCTATTTTTACCCTTTTTAACTGTATCTTGGTTGTCTCGATAAAATGTAATTATACAAATGTCTTACCTCAACAATGAGGTGGCATTTCCCCTGAGAGATGGTGACAAGATCACACAGTTTCCCCAGACTTTACTCAATTAGCGCTGTTAATGGTGCCCTACAGTGTTGCTTAGCAACACATGTAGCTGCTGAAGGTTTGGTCCTGTAAGCTTTTTCCAAATTTTTCTCTGAACTGTTTCTCAGTTCAATTTCATTCCAAAGTGAGAACATATTGTCTTTGTGCAGCGCGAGAGAGAGAGAGAGAGAGAGAGAGAGAGAGAGAGAGAGAGAGAGAGAGAGAGAGAGAGAGAGAGAGAGAGAGAGAGAGAGAGAGAGAGAGAACAGACTAATACTAGAGAGCATGATGCACTTTCAATGGGGATTTAAATTGCAAACACTCCTTTTGTTTTTCCATCTTTTATGCAGCTGAGACCGATGTCAATAGCTTGCTGCTCTTGTTAATAATGTCAGTAGCATGTCAATTGGAGATTGGAACCTCACTGTAAAAACTGATTTGGACCACTGATCTATATAGAATGACTGGATAACTCATGACGTCATAAACAGTGATTCCCTAGTGAGCTCACGCGTTCTATTGAATCAATAGGAAATTGTATGATTTGACTGAGAAAACATTGCATAACGAGACACCGTCTTTAAATCTAAAGTCTCCCTGAACAGTCTTACAACGCAAACATCCTAAGCATTTAAATGGGTATTTGTTTAAAGTCGGAAATTATTCCTGCTTACAAAAAATGAAGTATATGTGAATTGTGAACTTAAAATTTAGCTCTTTCTGATTGTGTTTTACAGATAGATCAGTAGTCTGCTCAAGTATTTGATTAGTTAGCAAGAACATGTCCAGGAAATGCATATTACAAATTGTATGGGTTAATGTACACCTGTTTCACCTCTTATTTACCCCTTATTTGCGCGTTTACAGCTGCGACACGGCTACCGGAGCTGATCGCGCCCACAAATCGGCAAATCACGTGGAAATGCTCCCGGTGTGAGTTGACACCGCGTGAAGGTAGGAATAAGGAGCCATAATGCGCCGTAGATGTGTGCACTGTAAATAAGGGGTTTACACATAGGCCTACTCCGTTTGCAGTGCATATATTTTACCATACCCATGTCAACAGGTTGGAGCTTTCACTGCACGCGGATGCCCGTCCTGTGCGGTGCGTACAGAGATCGTTTGTGCTGCAGGCGCTGAATTAAAGTGACCGCGCATGGTTCGTGGTCAAACTGAACACGGATTGACATGAAAATATTACATATATGCATTTGATTAAATTTATAAGAAGTAATGCATTGAATAATACGTTTATTGGGTTTAAACTAGAATACGTCTGTGAAAGAATGCATAGTAGGCTATACTTTTTTTTAAACAACACGGAAATAGCGACAATTGTGCATATAAATTACTATATATGGGGTTAAAGTACAACCTGTGAGCAGTTTTTCAAGATCCTTTGGTGATCTTCGTTTTACACTTGTTGATGCGCAGCGGGTCATCTTAAAAGTGCCGTCGGAGCTACCTATCTCTGTATAACGGCCGTTGGAGCCCTCTGCTGGTAGGGAATCGTAAGATGGCCGCTCGAACACTTCCGGTGGCTTCACTGCCTGGTGGCAGTTTAGAACGTCATGAGCTATCCAGTCATTATATAGATCAGTGATTTGGACTTACATTACATAGGCTACACAATTCAGCATTCAATCTTTTTACAGTTTACATTTATGGTGCTTTAGCCGTTTTGATCTGCCATTTATTCCTAGTTTGTTCCTCATCCCTTCTTCAAAACCCTCTTTGGAGACATGCCTGTAAACCTGAAATCCTACTTCTCTGATTGGCTAGAAATGTGCTGGTCAAGATGTGGTTGGATAGTTTGGATTTCTGTAGACACCGATTTTATAATAACACTTTACAGGTCCCATTATTCCTGTACTTTATGTTTCAAACACCGATTCGTTTACAAACGAAACACTTTACACACTTTATTCCAGCAGATGAATATGAATTCGAACGTATAACTCACTCTGGGTTTATTATAAATATTTGATTCAACGAGTTCGTCATCTCCACCTATATGGAACATCTCTGGCAGGTCACGTGATCTCGCAGAAGCGCTCGCCGCCAGTCAGAAAGATTGAACAGCGTTGGCTTCATCCATCCAGTCGAGTGTCGAGCGTCAGGGGAGTGAAGCGCGTGAGAGCTCAACACCAGAATCATGGCAACCGCAACAGCAGGTGAGAATATTCTGCTTTATTTTTCCCCAAACACTTGTAAACCACAATATCACACGTTTTACTTTACTTATTCACATTTAATAATTAATTTTCTACCATTCTTCTTTTCCGGCTAGAAGTCGAAAACCGTCAGAGATTGCTGCGAAACGTGAAGAAGGAGGTAAGTGATAGTAAAAACAAATAAAGCCAAGTGAACATTAGGCTGAAACGCCCTTTAAAAATGTGACTCATATTTCAGACATGTCTACAAAATGTGTGATAGTTAACCAAACCCCGGAGCTAACCTTATATCTAAAAGAAACCTGCGAAAGCAAAATAAGCATATCTTTATTCGATTTAATTGTCTGTATAGTTGTTGTACTGTGCAAAAATCGGCGCTCCCCCAGTCTAGAGTAGCCTATATAATGAATTATTTATTCGTTTTTACATGTCTATTTTTTCATGAATGTGCTACTGCTGTTTATCTTTTTCCCCATCAAGCACCTGTCAAACTTAATACCAGCTTTTATCATACTATGTATTTATTTGCAAACCATATTCATGTCTGTATTAATAAAATAGTGAGGATGAGTAGATTTGCAATAATTATATTATTATATTTAATACATCTTGTTTTAAAATAACACATTTCGTAATGGCTTAATGTGCCTTTATACAGACATACGTTGTGTTCAGGTGTGTATACTATTTATTATCGTCCACATCTCCATTTAACAAACCAGAAACATTCTATAAGCACTTTCTACATGTTTAAACTGCCCATCTCACTCCTTTGATTGACTTGAAAAATAGCTGTTTGTTCATAGATTATCTTCTTTTGGAAATGTAAAATTCAGCTTAAGGCTCACGGCATCTTTTGATTGATTTGTGCTATTGATTTGAGGCCAGTCCTAGCTCCTTTGCCTCCACAAATTGCATTGTATTGTCTTTGCCTTTCAGTCCTTTCATTTGATTAATAGGTTCCAATAATCCTTTTGGGTTAAGCAAGCATGTATGTAAGTCTGTGTTTAAGCATTCAATGGATGAGGTTTTGTATATGAATTTGGGTGTGAATTTGTAGATGATTTCCTAGTATTTGCACATGCCCTGTACGGATTCTAATTTGATTTATGGTTCACTATTAGTTCTGATTGCAGTCACTGGTGTACTTATCAGTCCTGTGTGGCAGCGACTCACTCTGTGATATATTTCTGTTTTTAATGTTAAACTCTTAGCTTTGTGCCAAATGACAGATTATGGTCCATCCGTGCACCAGCCTTGTTCTCATCATGTGATGCCCAAACGATGTGAAATTATAGTGCAGTTATGAGGAAAAAGTCCCAGTTACAAGACTGAGCATTTGCTGTCCGTCTATCAATATGAATTTTACGTCCGTGGTGGCTTTTTTGCAAAGGTTGGGCATCTCAACTTGAGGTTTTTGGCAGGCAGAGCCTGGTCCTGATGACTGAAACAGCCAATCAAGAAGAGTGGAGGGAGGTGAACTCTCACCCTGCGCCGTATGGGGCTCATAATGAAAATGTATTCTTGATCCACCACACTGTGTTTACAGCAAAGCTTCCTGAAACCTGCCACTTAGAGAGTCGTTTGGCATTTGCAGTGCATGTTTACCCTTTTGCAGCTGTTGACTAAAATTACGGCAGACCATCATTACATTGCTGATATGATGAGCATAGGCAAAGCAACAAAAAGACTCTTTCTGTGTCTTGTCTTGTGTCTCTCTCTCTCTCTCTCTCTCTCTCTCTCTCTCTCTCTCTCTCTCTCTCTCTCTCTCTCTCTCTCTCTCTCTCTCTCACACTCACACACACACACACACACACACGCACACACACCTGTGTTGACACAAGCAGAGGGTCATGCGCAGAAAGCCTTTCCACACTACCCAGCAGCCCACCATTTGTTTACCTTTCTCTCTCAGCTTCCTTTAACAAAGCTAGTTTAATCCAATGGCAATGCTTATCAGTATCCTCAAAGAACCTCTTTATCCATCTTGAACTGAATAATAGCTATTTTTTCTACTTAATTTTTTTGCAAAGTTATTTAAATGCTATGAAAGCTGGTGTTGAAAAAATGTTTTTTAATAGAAACATCATTATATTGGTCAATTAGACTTTAGTTATACGACTAGATGGTGTGGCAAATCGTGAATTTTGATAGATCACTTTGTTCTTTCACTTGCAGACATAACATGATATCTGCATCTTTTTTTCTTTTTTTTTGCATTTTATGCACTGGTTTGAGGAATTCTGTGGAATGTATTTATTGTACAGATGGTAAATGTGTTGAAAATGACTGGTTCTAAAGTAAAGATTTTGTATGTGTGATGAGCATTTCTAAGGCTTTCTCAATGTTCATGGCAGCACTGAAACCCTACATGTCAATATTGTTTTTGTGCTTGTGCTTGATTAGCATTTATTAAACCATAGATTGAATAGCCATAGAGTCTGAGTCTAAATAATATTTCTTAAGTGATTCTAGAGATTTTAACAATTTCCAAGATTAAACAGATGTCAGTGTCATTTTTAAGGGGTCACAAAAGATCCAGCCTTAATTTAATCATGTAACATGCCTAAAAACAGACAGTATCTCGGTAAAACATAGCAAAGAGATCAAATCATACTGCTTTTCCTCCTGGTTATATATTTCTATGAAAAAAAATGAAAAAAATTAAGAGTCCATCAGCCAATTAATCTCTGTGAGCAGAGACCAGTGTATAAATATGTTGTTACAAAACAACTCCGCAAGATGTTATTTCAGTGTGTGCAAGAAACACTTAAACCTCATGCCAAATATCAGAACACCAAAAAAGCTTTAAGTGTCGAGCCACTGAGAATCATTATACCTAATGAATTTGTAAGTGATTAAACAAAAGCCATATTATGCTGATGTGGTTGAGAATAACTATTTATAAATGCGCTGTATTTGGACTGTTTGTATTAAATCTTCAAGGTCTAGCATCTCTAAATACCAACTCCAGTTAAATCAAACAGGTTTACATATAGCCATATGCAATATTTTGTTTCAGATTTATAGATTCTATTAATTTACAGTTGTAATTGAAATTATTCAACCCCCATTGCAAATCAGGTTTATTGGCAAACTGTATAGACTTTCAGCTGTTTGCAATACAAATCAAACAAAAGTAATTGAAATAGCTCAACACAACAAATGTTTTGCAGTGGTTTCCCCAAATTTACCTGAAAATGCAACTTTTAATGACTTATGCAGTTTCAAAATTATTCAAACTTTTGAATAGAATCCCTCACAACAGAACAAATCTGCAAAAAAGGTGTTGTCTCAAGCACACCTGATGCCACTAATCAAGGGCTTCATTAGTTGCACTAGGTGTGCTTGAGCTAGAACACACGAAATATCTGAACTGGCTAGGTTTGTTGAGTGTCACGTTTGGTCCAAAAAGTTAAGAGAAGATTTCATTGCCCTTCACAAACAAGGAACAGGATACAAAAAGATAGCGAAGGCACAAAATGTTCCTAGAGACACAGTTGGAAGCATAATTTGCAAGTTCAACGTTAAAGGAACAGTTGTTACACTACCTGGACGGGGCAGAAAAAGGAAGCTATCAACGGCTGCAGCCAGATTTCTGAGAAGGCAGGTTCAGAAAACCCTCGAGTGACTCGAAAGACCTGCAGAAAGACTTGGTGGCAACAGGCATTGAGGTTTCAGCTGCACAGTAAGGCGCGTACTAAACGCATGGCAGGACTCCAAGACGTACACCACTACTGAGCCAAAAACACAAGAAAAGTCGGCTCCAATTTGCTCAAAACCATATAAATAAGCCACAGAAGTTTTGGGATTCTGTTCTTTGGAGCGATGAAACAAAACTGGAACTTTTCAGCCCTATGGATCAGCGGTATGTCTGGAGGAAGAAAAATGAAGCATATGCTGAAAAGAGCACTCTGTCTATAGTTCAGCGTGGCGGGGCTCGGTGATGCTCTGCGGCTGCTTTGCATCCTCTGGCACTGGAAACCTGCAGCATGTGGAAGGAAAGATGGATTCATTGAAGTATCAGGAAAACCTAGGAGAAAACGTTATGCCGTCAGTGAGAAAGCTGAAGCTTGGGCGTCATTGGACCTTCCAACAGGACAATGATCCCAAGCATACCTCAAATTCAACCATGGCTTGGTTTCAGAATAAGTCCTGGAAGATTCTACAGTGGCCATCACAGTCACCTGACTTGAACCCCATAGAAAATTTCTGGTGGGATTTGAAGGCGGTTGAAGTACGCAAACCCAAGAATATTACTGAACTGGAGGCCATTGCTCATGAGGAATTTCTACTAAGTGCTAAAGTTTAAGTAAATTTTAAACTGTAGAAATCTTTAAAAGTTAAATTTTCAGTTGAATTTGGGAAAATCACTTGAAACATTTGTTGTGTTGAGCTATTTCAATTACTTTTGTTTGATTTGTTCATTGCAAACAGCTGAAAGTCTGTACATTTTGCCAATAAACCTGATTTGCAATGGGAGTTAAATAATTTCAATTGCAACTGTATATTATAATAAATTATATTATATAAGATTACCTTACCTTACCTTATCTTTAGACTCCGACTCCCCTATTTATTATAGTTTATATAATAATGCATAGTTGAAATGGGCATAAATGTTTTTTGATGGTGGATCATGCACAGATGAAATGGCATAGAATTCAGGTCACCTGGTATTAAAACATGATCTTAAGGAGATGAAATGTATCTTCCAGATCCTCACTGAGTCATATGCCTGTAATGGTACCAGGCCCACTGTACATTCATTGCTTTTGAGATAATTTCAGGATAATATATTATAAAATATCATTCCGCAATGCTCGGTGCCATTATTATGTGTTACATTTTTATTTTCCTTTGTAATCAATTAGAGTGGTTTATTTAAATGAAAAAATATATATTAAATGTTATGTTATAATACTTTAGCATTATTATATCAATATTAGTATTTATTACTATTCTTATAGTAATACGTACTACACCTGCCATTGTCATTGTCATGACCTATACGGTATCAGTTGCGTGGCTTCACTGCCATTCATAAATTCTCTCCCGTCGCCTAATGGGATAGTAAAGTGTCCATCGTATGCACACTTCAGTATCTCGCAAAAAAGTAGCAAGTCATCCGAGTAATTTTCGCCCACTGTTTTGAGAACT